TACTTTCTGTGCAGTTGTTTGCCCAAAACTCTGAACTAATTCCTGACCCCCACCAGTAGGGCCTCTGCAGTTTGCCTCTGGCTGAATGGACAGTACAGAACTGTTCCTGCCGCACTGATCCTTTGCATTTTCTGTGAGCTACTACTCTGGCAAACCACCTTACACTAACTCAGTGCCTTAGTGCTACTTTTGTTTTTTTTGTTTTTTGTTTTTTTTGGTTTTTACGAGACAGGGTTTCTCTGTATTGTTTCGGAGGCTATCGGTCCAGCCTGGCCTCGAACTCACAGAGATTCCCCCTGCCTCTGCCTCCCGAGTGCTGGGATTAAAGGCGTACGCCACCACCGCCCGGCTAGTTCTACTTTTTTATATGATGATGTATTAAGGAAAGGTGGCTTATGCCTTTAATCCCAGACCCCTGGAGTCAGATGTAAGCAGATCTCTGTGAGTTTGAGGTCATCCTGGTCTACATGGTGAGTTCTCAGGCAGTTAGGGCTATACAGTGAGGCCTTGTCTTAGAAAGAAAGGAAGAGAGGCTCCGAGGGAAGGCGAGAGAGAAGAAGGAAGGAAGGAAGGAAGGAAGGAAGGAAGGAAGGAAGGAAGGAAAGAAGGAAAGAAGGAAAGAAGGAAAGAAGGAAAAGAAAAAGGAGAGAGAGAGAGATGTATTAATTGTGTGGGGACACCAGACCTTGAGCAGAAACCCACTTCCCCTTTGGCCTGGGAGCAGGCATCTATGTATTGTTTACTGAAAACAATTTAGTGCTTTAAAGCTTGATAGGGCTCAGATAGGGCTGGCTCACTGAAATACCATGCCTTCCACACCTCCTATGGCTAGATGCCTCTTCCTGCCCCCTGTGGTGTCTCCCCGATTCTGGGGCCGGAGATTAAACCACCAGCCAGGAGGGTGAGAAGTGGAAAGAATGGTATGTAAATGGATGGCAAAAGTCCTTAAAAAGGGAAGCTCCTTTTTCTTAGAGAGACTTCTCCTGAGATTTCTTCTGAGAGCTCTCTCCTAAGCTGACTTGGGAAGATAAAGTTTTCTTAAAGCAACTGACCGGTCTCTGTGTCATCTATCCCGACCACCTCGCTACATTCTCGGATGCAGGCCGCACAGCAGGTGCGACAAATTGTACATGCTAATGGGGTTCCCTGCGGTGTAATATTCCCACACATGTATACAGTAGACACTTATTGAATCCAGCCTCCCTATATCTCCCTTCCCTCTCCATCCTTCCCAACTTCTGCAAACTCTATTTTACAGCCAGGGTAACCTTCCTTAGCTCAACATGTGAGAAGCCTGCCTGTGGTGCTCATCTCTCTGTGCTCAGCTTCCCTCACTTGGCATAGCGTCCTTTACTTCCACCTATTTTGCTGCAGATGGCAGAACAAGCGCCTAGAACACAGCAAATGTAAGCGCAGCAAATGTCAGCTTGAAAGTGTTCTATTTAGTGTGCTTCTTTTTACAAAGAGGAATGATGGGGACCAGGAAGATGGCTCAGTAAGGATGCTTGCTGCTCAGCTTGGCAGCCTGAGTTTTATCCTTGAAACCCACAGGGAAGGAGAGAACTGACTCCCACAAGTTGTCATCTGACCTCCATCAAGATATCTTCTGACCTCCACATTTTAACCATGTCATATATGTGCCCATAGAGGACAGTTTTTTTTTTTTTTAAAAGAAATTCTGGCTGGGAGTTGGTGGTGAATTCCTTTAATCCTGGCACTCAGGAGCCAGAGGCAGGTGGAACTCTGAGTTTGCAAAAAGCCAGCTTGGTCTACAGAGTCAGTTCCAGGACAGCCAGGGATCCAAACAGAAACCCTGTCTTAGGGGAAAAGGGGTGGGGGATTCTGGATGTGGAAAAATGAGTACAATCTGTTACCCCTGTGAGCACAAGGTTGAGGGGTAGACATGGGGATTGTGAAGGGGAGCAGGGGTACAAAGAAGACATTTCAGTTCAGATTGTCAGTGTTGTTGGTTTTTTTTTTTTTTTTGTATCTCTGTGACTGTGTTACCTATTCAGAAATTATAAGTATCTTTTTAAAGTCAGCTACTGATATCCTTATTTGGAGGAATTGTTTTACTGATTCTTACTGAATATTAAGGCAATTATATTAAGTCTTTTCCATGGACCAAAGCCACAACTGGTTATTAAGTCAAATATGATTTCTGCCTTGAATCAATTGGTGTGTGTCTGTCTGTTTGTCTATCCTTGGTATAGTCAGAATCAACAAAACGAAGTGATAGGGTCAAAAGGCTCTTCAGGTTCATGATGCCTATGATGTAACTCTTGATGTAGCCCCAGAGTCCCTGGGCCCCATGGAAAGTATGTGCTGAGCAAGTTTTTAGTTATAGCAGGGGTAAGAGGGTAAATGCTCCACAGGCCTATGAGGCCTACCCCTAGGAAGCCTCTGGAGGCCTGAAGAGGATGAGACCCCAGGCTGAATCTTTGGTCAATGTGAAATGTTTTTATGCAGACACTACACATCCAAACTGGGTCCTGTGCAATTGTTGTTAGCACTGGGCCTCGCTGTCACAGGGCTAGGGGGCAGGTGAAGACGCTTACTTAACGCATCTTTCATTTTATGGAACGAAAGGGGTCTAGTGTGACAGCTGGGCAGCCTGAGTCAGCCCCTGCCTCACCGTTAGGTGCCTCACTGAGTCCTCCATGAGACCCACTGGACACAGTGGGATTGTCACCTGGTGAGGGTTGTGACAAAGCAGCGACGGGGTGCAGGTGTGAGACAAAAGCCCATACCTCTCCCTCTTCCCCCCTTCCTACCAGTGAATCCCACCGGCAGCTAGAGGCAGTCCTTTGATACAGATGTGGGGGAAAAGTAACTCGCCTCCCCGGGCCCCCAGCACAGCTCAGGGTGGCTCTGGAAGGGCAAACGAGGAGTGCTAAGCACTGTTCTGTCTGGACAGTACCTGCTTTAACCTACACTTTAGGCCCTAAAGCTAGGTACGTGTTTTCTGGGTTAAGAGATCAAGTCACAGGCAGAGGTGGTAGCTAACCTCTGTAATCCAGCATTTGGGAGACTGGGGAAGGATTGCAGTGAGCTAGAGGTTACCCTAGGCTGTACAGTGAGTTCCAGATCAGCTTGGGCTAGGGGAGAGGGAGAGGGAGAGGGAGAGGGAGAGGGAGAGGGAGAGGGGGAGGGGGAGGGGAGAGGGAGAGGGAGGGGAGGGGAGAGGGAGAGGGAGAGGGGGAGGGGGAGGGGGAGAGGGAGAGGGAGAGGGAGAGGGAGAGGGAGAGTTTTGTCAGCTACCAACTTACAAACGATTTGGAGACTTCTTACTAATCATGAAAGCTTGACCATTTTGCCTAGGCTGGTCCCACTAGCTCTTGTAACTTAAATTAGCCGGCTTTTATTAATCTACAGTTACCATGTGCCTCGGTCACCTCTACTCTGTACCGTAAATCCCACCTCTTCAGTGTCTTCCTGGTATCTCCGGCCCTCCTAGATCCTTCTTCCCACCGAGTTCCTCCCCCTCCCCAGAAGTCCCTCCTAGTCTCTCCTGTCTAGCTATTGGCCATTTAGCTCTTTATTAAACCAGTCAGAAGGCGCCCTAGGCAGAGACACATCCTTATAGTGTAAACAAATATTCCACAGCACCAAAGGCAGCAGAGCCTAAGAGAAGCGTCATCTTCAGCTGGGGAAGGGACCGGCAAGTCTGAATCAGTCTGGTTTGCCAAACCTCCTTTTCCACTCTTCCCAGGACCCCCCTGGGTGAATGCAAAGGCCCTAAAGACACAAAACCTGAACACAGGGAGTCCCTAAATTAAAAGAAACTTCCTGGGAGATGTGAAGAGAGACGGCCAATGGAAACAACAGCCCTGGGCTCAAGCTGGGTTCTCATAATCGGTGAGTGGCTCTTGGGGCCCAGCAGGGGGCCCTCGAGCCTGTTTCATATCTGAAAGCCGGCTGGGTACAAGCGCCCTCTAGCGGGCGGCAAACAGCAAATGCGGTCTTATTTCTGGAAGCAGTTTGTCCGTGGAGTTACCCTTTGTAGAGTATTCTCATTTTGCCGGGTTTGGCTGTGTCTCTAGAAAGTGTGCTCGTAAAGAGAGACCTGCCTAAACGTTTAAGATGGCAGGCGCGTTCCAAATAAACAGGGAGGAATTCAGAAAGGACAGGGCTGATTCCTTGAGTAAACCCTGCCCTCATGAGGCTGGGGGCGGGAGGATTGGAGTTTTTAATTGGAGTTCGAGGTCAGCCTGAGGTATACAAAGAGTGCCTGTCTCAAAAGGCAACTAATTCAATTAAAAGTAGAAATGCCCGTGACAACTGCAAGTCGGATGAATTAGCTGGCCCATTAAAAGAAACAAAAGTCAAACAAGAGGGCTCCCCCAGCACACCAGGGCAGCTGTGATCCTGGTCACCCAAGAAGGCAAAGCTCAGCTTAGCTCCACGGCCCTCCTGCCTGGAGAACAGGGCAGGCAGATCATTAATTAGTCACGCGTGATGCCTAAGTAAGCCGCATCTCCTCAGAGCGTGGGGCTCGGGTTTTCACTGGAGACGGGGCCGGCTGAGACTAAACTGGAATAATGTGTGAACAGCCTGGCTCAGTGTCAGATGCAGGGGCCGGGCTCAGCCAGCGTTCCTTGGCCCCCCTCAGGCCTTCACCCACTCGTGCTTGCGTGACCACGCGGCTGTACGCCCAGATCTGTTCTCCACGCGGAACGCGGCCCATATTCACGGTCCACACCCACCCTGTAGCATCCCGACTTGGAGGGGGAAAAGAAAATCGGTTCGTCGGAACGCCGAACGCCAACTCTCGGTCCTGAGTTCAAATGCCGACACCTCCCCTTCTCCCCACGGGCCCGGAGGAAGCCACTCGTCCCGGGTCCGGGTCGGGGAGCGCGGGCTGAAACCCAGAAGCTGCGTCCCGCGGGCGGCGGCGGCCGAGGCACCCACCCCCCGGACCTGCGCACAGCGGCGGGCACGTGGACGCGGGGCACGTGACCGGAACACGTGCGTGGAAGCCACCTGTTGTAACGGTGAGTATGCGGCGCCTGGCGGGCCCGGTGGCCTCCGCGGAAGGTCGCCCGCCCCTCACGCCTGCCTGGCCCCGCGCCCCCCGCACCCGCCATCCTGGTAGCCTGCTCCAGCTGTTGAGGTTCCCCCGGTGCTTCCATTAACCACCACCCGCCCCCCCGACGCCCGGTCCTCCTCCTGAGGCACTGAGTCCCGGCTCCCAGGAGTAGGCCTCCATCAGACTGGCTCGCTCGCGGGGTAGGCCCCAAAGCTTCGTTTTCCCGGTGAGTTCCTCGGGGCCTGGGAGTCGGTTCCAGTGCAACTGCCTGGATTCCTTGTTTTTATTTTCGAGACAGGGTTTCTCTGTATTGTTGTGGAGGCTGTCCTGGAACTCGCTCTGTAGACCAGGCTGGCCACGAACTCACAGAAATTCGCCTGCCTCTGCTTCCCGAGTGCTGGGATGTGGATTCCTTTTCAAGTTTTCCTGGGTTAGCCCTCAGTTGTAGGCCAAGGCCGTCCTCTATGCCCAGGTTAGCCCAACAGAATACAGCCCTCTCCCGCCAAATGTACCCTATGCCAAGGTCTGGCTTGATGGTTTCTGGGTTTGGTGGTGTTTTGTTTCTTGACGTTTCCCAGGGCATAAAAATTAGTTGTTGTTTGTCTTCCCGGAAACGTTCGCTGTTTCCCGGGCCCTACTCAGTTTGATGGATGGAGAGCTTGCGACACTGGGGTCTGCCTTACTTTTGAGTAAACTCCTGTAATCCAGTTTCAGATTGTGAGCTGAGGCCTCCCTGACCAGAGTCACTGCCCTCGCTAGCGTTCCAAGCCAGTAAATATTTGTTTAAAAGAACGCATAAAACACGATGCTGGGATTATGGCGTGTTGCTACAGCAATGTTCAGAAGAGCAAGACAGCTGTAATTTTCTGCATTAATCTTGACGCTGTTGACATTGCTGCTCAGAGCGCTTTGGGTTTTCTATAATTATTTTCTTTTCCATAAAGTCGGGAAATTAAAAGAACAACAACAAAAAAGTGGGAGGTGGCGTATTGAGATCACAGTGTGAGACCAGGATGGAGAGGGGGGAAGGGGGGGAACCTTGGCTTTGCTGGATTTGGGGGAAGCACTAGCCCAGGAAGAAGGGGTGCTAGATGGTGCCGCACCGACGGCGGGGGCGGGGGAGGGGGGCCTCTGAGATGAGATAGGTGCAGACCTTCACCTGTGAGTGAAACAGGGGGCTAGGTTCTGCCTGGCTGAGTCATAAGGGATTTGGGAAGGGAAAGGGAACGAGTAGAGGTTAAATTTTGATTCTGTCTCTCAGTGTGGCCACAGGAGGCCTTTGTCTCCTATGTTCTAGCATTCTAGTGACAGCTTCTCCTTAGCTCTTGGTGATTCTCAGATGCACATTTGTTCGCATTGTGACAGCTGCGAATGCCATAGTCCTAGGGCCCTTGCTTTGCCGTCGCTTGCCGAATGTCTGATGGCTTTTGTCGTCTTAGCGGCTGGAAAGTTACCTGTGTCCTTGAAGTCATTAGTGTCTCAGCCAGCTGCCATGCTGGTTGAAGGCTGGGGAGAAACAATGAGATGCTACCAGACTGAACTCGGCTCCCCTGGGCCCGACTTCGTTGAAAATGTTCATGTAGTCAAGGAATGTCAGCCAAGGGATGGTCGAAAACCTGAAAATAGCCACCTGTATACAAAAATAAAAAGTGTATACATTGTTTTGTGGGTGAACGAAGGCCTTGGAGAGAAAGGCATTTGAAGCAGCCAGACTTAGGTACCCAAGAAGCAGTAGCGATGGTTCATGGGTCTCAGGAGCGCACTGATTGGGCCAGAAGGAGACTCTCCACCACCTGCTGCTGCTGCTGCTGCTTTTGGGGTTACTAGTACTCTGAACTAGTCTTTCCAACCCACCCTTGCATTTTTTAATTACATGTATATGTGTGTGGGGGTGTATACTCGCAGGTACCCACAGAAGCCAGGAAGAGACTGTAGGATTCCTGAAGTTAAGAGTTACAGGCAGTTGTGAGCTGCCTGATGTGGGTGATAGGAACAGAACTCAGGTCTGCTGAAGCAGCAGACCAAACTACTCCTGAGCCCCGTTCCTTTTGTTTCTAAGTTGGCCCGCCTTTGAGCTTTGGGGATTCGGTCTACCTGTTACTGTATTTTAGCTGGGTTAATGACTGTGCTCCCAGCATGGTTCGCTAATTAAGCCACAGGATATTAGCACCAGTGGCAGGCAGGTTGTGTGCTTAAGCAGCCGAGCAGGTACCTCACCTGCAGAAGGTCGGGGCTGCTTGAGACTCCTGGTGACACAAGGCCTAGGTCCACCCTCTGCCTTATGGAAGATGCTCTGAGAGCTTCTTAAGAGAAGACATGGGCAAGGCCCCAGGAGGCCTCATGGTCTTCGGACTGGATTCCTGCTGTGCCCACTCCTAGCTGATTTTTTAGCTCCTTCTAAAATTAGATTCTTCCAGCATGCAAACGTAGCCTGTAGCTAACATTGGAGATGGCTTGAATAGAAGCGGAGGCTTCTAGAAGTCACCTTTCTCGTCTCTTGGAAGCACACTTGTAGGCTTGCAGATACAGGCAAGCTTTACTGCCACCCCCACTGCCAGGTGCCTGACTTCCTTCCCATCTCATTTTGTTTAGTTTAAACGGGGTCCTTTTATGTCTGTAACCTAGACCAGGCTGGCCTTGATCTCACAGAGATCTGTCCGCCTCTGTCTCCCAAGTGCTTGGGATTAAAGGCATGGGCCATCATGGCCAGATTTACTTTTTCATCTTTGAGAATGACTTTGGGGGTGTCATTTTATTTCATTTTATTTTACATTTATTTATTTTGCATGTATGTGGGTACTTATGGGCACACTTGTATATGTGGAGTCAGAGAACAACCTTTGGGAGTCAGTTCTCTTCTTCCATCATAGAGGAAGGTTCCTGGGATCCAAATGACATAATCATGTTTGACTATACTTTAATTGGGAATGTTTTAATTGTAGATTTTTCTTGATGGTCTGTATTTCAGTTTGATTTGTCCAAAGTACTGAAAGTTATTTTAAAAAATAAACAAAACTAGTTTTCAGTCACTGCAATGAAAATCTTTCCAGGCAAGAATCATCAGTGGATGCTTATATAATCTCAGAGCATCTTCAGTAAGGCACTGATTAATTACAAAGGCGACACCTGTAGAGCGACAGTGTAGAAACCTTGTGGTTCCCACCTTGGCCTAGTGACAGTATGAAAATCATGTATTTAGTTAAGTGTGGTGACAGGCACCCATAATCCCACACTCAGGAGGCTGAGACAGGGAGAAGTCAGAAGGCAAAGTCTATCTTTGCTGTTGTTGTTTGCTTTTGGTTTCTGTAGACCAGGCCAACCTCCAACTCAGAGATCTGCCTGCTTCTGCCTTCTCTGGGTGCTGGACCTAAAGACATGAATCACCACGCAAGCTTGTAAGTTCCAGGACAGCTAAGGTTATGTAGAGAACCCCTGTCTCAAAAAAACAAGGAACAAGGCTGGTGGTGGTAGTACACACCTTCAACCCAGCACCTGGTCTACAAAATGAGCTCTAGGATAGCCAGGGCTACACAGAGAAACCCTGCCTTGAAAAACAAAAGGCAAGCAAACTTTGTTTGAATTGTTGGCTGAAGCATTTGTCAAAAGATGACCTATTGAAAAATACTTGGAGATGTCTGATATCCCTTGGTTTAGTGTTGATGAAGGGAATTTAAGGGTCAGGGAAATTGCGGTGCTAGAGTGGGTACGCTGTGTAGAACCTAATCCTCCACAATGGGAAGGCCCAGAAGACACGCCCTTCACTAATCCTACAAGACACAAAAGGGTGAGAGGGGTCCCAGCACATCTGAAGAGTTTTGTTGTTGCTCCTTTTCTTGTGCCAGACCTTAGGGTTGGAGGTGATACTGGTCAATTGGATGAATTAAATGTAGTGGTTTTAATTGGGACCTGAGGCAGCAGGGGCTACGTGACAGCACTGAATCACCAAAGGCAAGGTGATCATAGTTATTGTAATGGGCCTCAGAGACAAGACAATATTCATAGTGCCCTAACATGTAATCATCAGCTTGGCAAGGTTGATTTTACTGTGCCATGTCTGGTATGGACCTTTGAAACTCGCTAGTAAATCATGATGTTTCCAGGCATGAAATAGGTAAGAGTCCTACTGCATTTTTTGTTCTATCTGTGTAAGGGGGAAAATCTTGAATGGAAGGAAGGCTTCATTAGATTGTGGTGAAAGGAAATGTTAGCTGATGAATCAATTTCTAGACTTGAGCCAGACCCAGAACCCTTAGAATGAAGAGACATCCAGGTTCCTCTGAGAAGGACCATGGTAAAACACCTAAAACTTTTATTGTTAGCCTTTCTCCAGTCCTTCCCAGAGAGACCTATGGTCTTTGTGAAAGGTAACTATACACTGGACTAAGGAAATAGTCAGACTTTCTGAGGTCTGTTGAATACTGGTTCTGAATTGACGATGATTCTCGGAGATCCCAAAAACCAATGTGAACCTCTAGCTAAAGTAGGGGCTTATGGAGGCCATGTGATTAATGGAGTCTTGGCTGAAGTCCAACTCACAGTAGGCCCAGTGGATCCCTGAACTCATCCAGTAGTCATTTCCCAGTCCCATAATATATAACTGGGATAGATATACTTAGAAATTGGCAGAATCTCGCATTGGTTCCCTGACTTGTAGAGTGAGGGCCATTATAGTTGGAAAGACTGAATGGAAGCTTTTAAAGTTGCTTTTGCCAAAGAAAATAGTGAATCAAAAACATTATCGTATCCCTGGAGGAACCACAAATATTAGTGCCACCATCAAAGACTTGAAAGATGCAGGGGTGGTGATTCTACCACAACTCTCCTGTCTGACCAGTGCAGAAGACAGATGGATTGAGGAGAATGACAGTGGACTATCTTAAACTCAGTCAGGTAGTAAGTCCAATTGCAGCTGCTACACCAGATGTGGTGTCCTTACTTGAGCAGAGTGACATATCTCCAGGTTCATAGAATGTAGCTATTCATTTAGCAAATGCCTTTTTCTTGAAACCTGTCCATAAGGACCATTAGAAGCAATTTGCTTTCAGCTGGCAAGGTCAGCAGTATACCTTTACAGTTTTACTTCAAGGTTATATTAGCTCTCCTGCCCTGTGTCACAACTTAGACGGGATCTTGATGTCTGTTTCTTCCACAAAATATCACATTGGTGCACTGTATTGATGACATTATGCTGATTAGATCTATTGGTAACACATATGTGCATCAGAGGATAGGAAATAAATCCAACCAAAATACAAATGCCTTCTACCTCACTGAAATTCTTAGGAGTCCAGTGCCGTGAAGCATGCAGAGATACTCCACTAGGAAAAAAGCACAATGTTTAGTGTGCCTGTTTGGATTCTGCAGACAACACTTTGTTCCCTTGGGTGTGTTAATCTGCCCCCAAGTGACTTGAAAAGCTGCTAGCTTTGAGTGGGGTCTGGAACAAGAAAAGGCTCTTCAACAGGTCCAGGCTGCTGTGCACGTTCTACCACTTGGACCTTATGATCCATCAGACCCGATGGAATTGGAGGTATCAGTGGCAGATAGAGATGCTGTTTGGAGGGTCCCTATAGGTGAATCACAAAAGAGACCTTTGGGATTTTGGAGAAAGGCCCTATCATCTGAAGACAATGATTCTCTCTTTGAGAGACAGCTCTTGGTCTGCTATTGGACCTTAGTGGAAACTGGGCATTTGACAATGAGCCATCAAATTACCATGCAACCTGAATTGCCCATCATGATCTGGGTGTTTTCTGATTTACCAAGTCATAAAATAGAATGTGCACAAGAGCAATCCATTATCAAATGAAACTGGTATATACATGAAATGTCTTGAAGGCACAAAGAATTTACATGAAGAAGTTGGCCAAATGCTTATGGTTGCTATTCTAGTTACAATGCCTACAATGCCGTCTGCTACCAAGTGTGCACAAATAGCCTCATGGGATGTGCCCTGTGATCATTTGATTGAGGAAGAAAATACTAGGGCCTAGTTAACTGATGGTTCTTCACATTATACAGGCACAACCCAGAAGTTGACATTTGCAGCATTACAATCCCTTTCTAGGACAACCCTGAAAGACACAAACAAAGGGAAATCTTCAGTGGGCAGAACTTCAGGAAGTACACATAGTAATACATTTTGTTTGGAAGGAGAAATGACCAGACCTGCAAATGTTCACTGATTCATGGGCTGTGGCCAATGGATTGCTGGGATGGTCAGGGACTTGGAAAGAGCATGTTTAGAAAATTGGTGAGAAAGACATCTGGGGAAGAAGTATTTGGATAGATTTCCAAATGGCCATAGGATGTGAAGAAACATGGGATGTGTCCTATAAGTGCTCATCAAAAGGTGACCAGCAGAGGAGGATTTCAGTAACCAAGAAGATAGGATGACCCATCCTGTGGACAGTCAGCCTGTTTCCCCAGCCATCACTGCCATTGCCTCATGGGCCTGTGAACATGGTTGTAGAGATGGAGATTATGCATGGGCTAGACAACATGAACTTGTAGTCATCAAGGCTGACCTGGTTATAGCTACTGCCGAGTGCCAGGACTGCCAACAACAGAGACCCACACTGAGCTCCAGATGGGCACATCCCCCTCCTGTAACATGGTAGCAGGTTGACTAACTACATTGGACCACTTCCTCCGTGGAAAGGACAACACTTTGTCCTTACTGGAGTACTTCTGGTTATGGATTTGCCTTTTCTGCATATAATACTTCTGTCCAAACCACCATCAGTGGACTTACACAATGCCTTATCCACTATCATGATATTTCACACAGTATTGCTTCTGACCAAGGAACTCACTTCACAGCCAGAGAAGTGAAGCAATGAGTCCCTCGTCATGGAATCCACTGATCTTACTATATTCCCACCATCCTGAAGCAACTGGCCTGATAGAAAGATGGAATGGTCTTTTGAAGACACAGTGACAGCAACTGGAGGGCTGTACAGCTGAATTCTAGAAATTTAGATGTGCCCTTTCACCCACATTAAAAAAAAGGCATGAGCTGAAAAAGTATCTCAATGGTTAGGAGCAGTTATTGCTCTTGCAGAGGTCCTGGGTTCAGTTCCCAGCACCCACACAGCCCTTGTATATGTGGGGGAGGGGTTGCATGTGTGGAGGTCAGACCACATCTTGAGAAGTTGGTTCTTTGCTCACATGGTAGGTTCCAAGAAGTGGAACCTGGGTGGTTGGACTTACACAGCAATCCCTTTTATCCACTGAGCCTACTCACCAGCCATGACTGTTCTCTACTCGCTTGAATAGTGAGCATATCCTGAGCTTCCTTGTGTTTCCTGCCAGGCAGGGCCTCTTTTCCTGAACTTAGTGGACCTAGCCTCTATCTACACCAACACTAACACCAGAATTTTCCTTTTAAATTCGAGGAAGGAGAAGGAGGGTGTGATGGAGCGGCCATACCTGAATCTGGAAGGTGAGGATTTGGTTCCATATTGAGCTGTCATTGTGGCTCTGTGGATGTGTCGTGAGGTGAGAACATCCCCAGGCTCAGTCGGTGCCCGCCTGGAGAAGGAAGATTCCTTCATCTCTCTCTGTCTCTCTGTCTCTCTGTCTCTCTGTCTCTCTCTCTGTCTCTCTCTCTCTCTGTCTCTCTCTCTCTCTCTCTCTCTCTCTCTGAGATCTGCTTGCCTCTGCCTTCCGAGTGCTGGGATTACAGGAGTGAGCCACCACTGCCCCGCAGGATTTATTTTTCTTTTCTTCTTCTTCTTCTTCTTCTTCTTCTTCGTTTGGTTTTGAAATAGGGTGTCTCTGTGTAACAGCCCTAGCTGTCCTAGGACTAGCTGTGCATATCAGGCTGTCCTCAAACTTACAGATATCTGCCTGCCTCTGCCTCCTGAGTGCTGAGATTAAAGGTGTGCACCACTATTACCCCACATAGGGATTTTTTTCTTAATTAAATCGTTGGAAGTGGGAAGACCCACTTCAAAAGATCTGGATTTTCTGAGGTAGTAAGGCCCACCTTTAATCTGGCTCACACTTTCTGTGGGCAACCTATATAAAGGACATGGAATAAGGAAGCTTGCTGTCTTTGCCGGCTTACTCCCTCACTGGCGAGCCCATCCCTTCACTGTCTTCTGCTTTCTGACATGTACTGAAGACCAGCTGAGATTTCCTTCTTCATGGACTGAACACCTACTGGGGTCTTGAACCTTCTGTTGATAGACAGCCATTGTTGGACTACCTGTAAGCCTGTAAGCCACTCTAATAAATCATATATATGTATGTGTGTGTATATATATATATATACACATATATGTATGTATATATATATTCATTCTGTAAGTTTTGTTCCTCTAGGAAACCTTGACTAACACAGCTACCCGGGGTCTACATGGTGGAAGGAGAGACTCCTGCAAGTTGTTCTCTCACTCCACATGTGTGCCGTGGTGTGTACACACACACACACACACACACACACACACACACACACACACACACACTTTTTAATTAGAAAATTCACTGATTTTGTTGTCTTCTCACTTGAGTATGCTTCTTTGTGTGTACATTGTACATTAATTTCAAGTTTGACTTGATCTGCACCTGTGCGCTGTGTGTAGTATATTGCACATTAGAGAACAATGGCCCCTAACTCTCCGAGATCCCTTCTGAGCCAGGCTCTAGGCTGGGTGCCTGGCACAGAGACACTTCATCTGTGTCTGAGTGACTCAAGAGAACTAGCTCATCAATGTGGTCAAGACACACAAGCCTCTTTGTGTGGGTGAAGAGGGGCTGGGATGTCATGTCATTTTTGCAGTGAGTGGTGACACATTTTCTCCTCTGGTCCACATTTGGGATCACCTCCCCACCCCCACCACAATTCCTGGGGTGGAGCACTGCTGAACTTGCAAAACCAGAGTCTGCCTGCCTCTGGCTGATCTGGAGAAGAAGCCAAAATGGGAACAGCGGAACCACGGTGGACAGAACAAAGGCTGCTGTTATGCTGCCTAAACTTAGTGGCTCTGCACTGTCAGGGTGACACAGAGAGCACTTGTGCTCAGAAAAGAAACCATCTAAAGGGAGGAAACGCCCGCCCGCCCCTGCCACATGCAGCCCCTGCCACATGAAATTCTTCTCATCCCCACATCAGCAGTTTCCTTTTATATTTGATTTATCATCTCAGTAGATGTTCGCTCATCTTCAGCAGATGTTACAGACTCGTTTGCTACTTTAAAATCCTCAAATAAACTGTCTTTTTAAAGAGAAGTTTTATGACTTCTCTCCTGCACTTGTGAGGCATGATTACTAACGGAGTTTTCCCAGAAGCGTTATCACTTTCTCTCTTGCCTCTCTACCAGCTGTACAATGTGGGACATTTTAAAAATAAATATCTTTATGTGTATGGATATTTTGTGTACATGTATGTCTGTGTGCTAAATACATGCAGTACCCTCAAGGACCAGAAGAGGGCATCGGATTCCCCTGTAACTAGTTACAGAGTCATGTGCCACTATGTGGGTGCTGGGAACTGAACCCCAGTCTTCTGTGTATGACTTTGTTTGACATGTGTTTTCAGCATTGGGCTCGTTTGCCCTTTGTTGAGCAGCAACAGTGATGTTGAATTTTGCTGTCTGGGTTCCTTCTCCCTCCCCCCTCCTTTTTCCTTCCTCACTGTGCTGCCAAGGATAACCTCACAATCATTGAATTACACCTCCTGCTGCAGACTCTGTGGTAATGGTGCAGATATCACTGTGCCCCACAAGGCTCTGCATGTACTTTCCCTGCAGAGCGTCGCTGAGGCGTGTGGTTCTCACACCGCACTCGGCCTGCTCGGGATGTGTAGTCAATAGGATGATGCTGCCTGTCCATCGCTGCCAAAAAAGGTACATGCATGCCTTTGCCACCACACCCAACATCTCTCCTCTCTCCCACCTGGAGGCAGTTACTAATCTGCTTTCTGTTCTGTGGATTGACCTATTCTGGACATTTCATTCATGCGGTCTGTAGTCTTTTATGAGTGGGCTCTTTGACAGGTTCATCTATGTTGTAGCATTTGTCTGTGTTTCACCGCTTCTTTATTGCTGAACAATATTTCTTTATGTGGCTAATACCGCATTCAGTTTATCCATTCAACCACTGACGGGCATTTGGGCTGTTTCTCCTTTTAGCTGGTATGAATAATGCTGTCATAGATATTTGTATACAAGGCCTTGTATGGCTCATTCATGGAGAATGGCACCGTGTCCTTGAGGGTTACGTGCATTCAGCTGATACAAGATGGAAGTGTGGTTAGATCCAGTTGTTCTATAGTGTTTTAGATCCCATGGTTTCCTTTAAAATATTTTAACTATGTCTGTGTTAGTTACTTTTCTGTAGCTGTGATAAAAGAACATAACCAAGGGGACTTAATAGTTAAGAAAAAGTTTATTTGGGATTTACAGTTTCAGAGAGTTAAGAGCCCAACATGGGTGGGCATGATGTGATGGTGCACACCTTTAATCTCAGCACTCAGGAGTCAGAGGCAGGTGGATCTTTTTGAGGTCAGCTTGGTCTATCTAGCAAGTTCCATGACAGCCAGAGAGAGCTACATAATAGAGAGGCCCTGTCTTAAAAAGCGGGGTTGGGGGAGTCCGTCATGGTTGGAAAGCATGGCATCAGTCACAGCGGTTGGAGCAGGAAGCTGAGAGATCACACCTGTTAACAGCAAACACAAAACACACAGAGCAGAAGAAGCAAACTGAGTAGGAGAAGGCTGTGTACTCTGAGAGTCTGTTTCCAGTGACATCTCCTCCAGCAAGACCTCCCTGAGAAACACCGCCAGCAGGACCAAGCTTTCAAGTACCTGAGCCCATGAGAGGTGTTTCTCATTCAGACCACCACAGTGTGTATGTGTATGCTTGTGAGTCTGTGCAGGGTCCAGAAGAGGGTGTTGGGTCACCAGTACTGGAGTTACAGGCAGTTGTGAGGTGCCTGGTATGGTTCATGCTGGAAAGCAAAGTGGGTAGGGCGTCTGTCTCTCTGTCTCTGTCTCATTTGGTCACTGATTTCCTTGAGGTGGGGTCTTACTCTTGTCCCAGGCTGGCCTGGAACTCGCTGTCTAGTCCCAGATGACTTCAAACTTACCAAATTCCTGCTTCTACCTCCAGAGTGCTGGCATTGTAGACCTGAGACCTCTCTGGCCTTTTATTCTCTTTTGATGTTCTGTCTAGTTTATTTTCTTCTTTATTTTTATGGTTTTCTTTCTTTCGTGCTGCTGGGCATGGAATCCAGGGCCTCTCTGCTAAGCAGGTGCTCTACCATAGAACTATACCCCCAGCTATAGTTGTACTATATGACAGCCACCAACTACCATTGCCTGTCTTTTCTTCCTTCAGTTCTGGTAGCTTCCTTCATATATTCTAGGGCTCTGTTTTTAGATAATTATAATTAATATTTGTAGATGTCAAAGATTCCTTAATTTTAGATGAGAAAAACTGTATGTATTCACATACAATCTGTCACTTTGAATGTGGTCTCTGTACATAACAACTTGATCCCCTTGAATAAAGTCTATCTTTGTCATAGCTGTTAAAAAGTATACTAATGTAGTTTAAATATTATCTGGAAATCTGGGGATCTGGGGAGATGTCTCAGTGGTTAAGAGCACTGACTGCTCTTCCAGAGGACCCGGGTTCAATTTCTAGTCCCCGCACTGTGGCTCACAATGTTCTGTAACTTCAGTCCCAGGGAATTTAATGCCCCCTTCTGACCTCCAAGAGTACTGGGTTCACATGTGGTGCACACATACGTGCAGGCAAACAAAATATCCATACACACAAAATAATAAGTCTTAGGGGCTGGAAGGATGGCTCAGTAGTTAGGAGCATGGCTGCTCTTCCAGAGGTCCTACCTGGGTTCGATTCCCAGCTTGCACACAGTAGTTCACACCTGTCTGTAACTCCAGTTCCAGGGCTTTTGATACCCTCACACAGACATACATACAGGCAAAACACCAATGAACATTTTTAAATATAGAGGTTTGGGTTTTTTTTGTTTTGTTTTGTTTGTTTGTTTTTACGAGACAGGGTTTCTCTGTATTGTTTTGGAGGCTTTCGGTCCAGCCCGGCGTCGAACTCACAGAGATCCGCCTGCCTCTGCCTCCCGAGTGCTGGGATTAAAGGCGTGCGCCACCACTGCCCGGCAAATATAGAGTTTTTTTTGTTTTGTTTTGTTTTGTTTTTTTAACAAATCTGGAGCTGAGGACAAAGCTCATTTGGTAGATTTTTTTTTGCATAGACTATGTTATAATACATTAGTAATTAATTAGTCATTAATACTGGGGTATTAGTTACTTTTCATGCTATGATAAAACACCATGACTAAGGCAGCCTAGTCATTAAAGGTGGTACACACCTTTAATCCCAGCACTCGGGAGGCAGAGGTAGGTGGAACTCTGTGAGTTTGAGACCAGCCTGGTCTATAAAAGCCAGTTCCAGG